CTTTTTTTTTTTTTTTGATTTTGCTTTTATTTCCGCGCCCAGGTTTGATTTATTTACCTTTTTTTGTAGCGCTTTGTTTTCTCTTTCTCTTCATTGTCGTCTGCAGTTTTTGTGTCGAGCCTCTGACTTGTATCCCTATTCCTTTTTTACTTTGTCCTGGAATCCTGCCTGCAAAGCAGCATCTGAGCTCCTCTCTATCCCCACTATAAGAGCACTCTGGAAGCAAGCAATACTTCAGTTCTTCTTCAACCTCGGATGTCTGCGATAAAAACCAGGAGCACACTTCCTCCCCCTTTCCACCCAACATCCCTCTCCCCCCTCCCTTACGTGATCTAAGCAACCGTCAAAGGAGCTACGCCACGTAGCCATTCAATCCGCCCACTCCAACCTCCCCGCTCCTCCACCCTCCTTTCCCCCTGTCTCGAATCGCACACTTAAAAATGAGCTCATGCACTGTCAGTCCCCTCCCTTCACCTCCTGTGCCCTCTGCAGTTCCCCCTCCCCTTCTCCCGCTCCCCTCTGTCCCCACTTCAGCCCTTCCCCTACCCTGGGGTATCCGCAGCAAAAACCAGTAGCACGGTCCTCTTCCCTTCCACGCGACATTCCCCTCGCCGTCTCCCTTACGTAGCTCAGGCAACCGATCCTTCGAGTCATCTATTCATCAACCCCCTCTCCTGTTTTGAATCCCTGGATGCGAAACTCGCACACACCATTCCCCTCTCCCTCTCAAACCCCCCCACCTGCCCTATGGTGGGGTGAGGGTAACTGCCATTAGCTGAAAAAATTTTTGCGGATCGTGTATGGTGCCGGAAGAACCGGGCCGAGCCGAGATTAGTAGTTATTGCGCCGTTCAGAGCGATTCTCGGGTGGTGTTGTCCTGTTCTGTTTTGTGACACTGTTCGAGTGCTCGTTTTTTGGTTTGACTGGGAGCATGGGTGTTGTGGATGGTCTGGTGAGCGTGGCTCTTTGCTCTGAGAAGACGCTGGTCTCTGTTGCATTGTGCTGTTGTTGCTGGGAGTGTGCG